TATCATACATGCTTCATATTGGCTTTATCGCTTAGTGGGAATTGTAATTACCGTAATGTGTTATTTTTCTCTGGAATTAGTAATTTAGTGAATTATAGTGATATATAGTGAATATTGGAACTCTGGTGTTGTAGCTGATTCTGCATTGAGTTGCTAACCACCAGGTCAACAGTTCAAAAGCACCAGTAACTCTATGGGAGAAAGAGGAGGCTTTATACTGCTATAAACAGTTATAGTCTCTGAAACCCACAGAGGTAAATCTACCCTGTCCTGTAAGGTCATGCTGTGAATTGGAGTCGACTCTAAGACAGTGAGTTTAATTTGGGATAGTGAATATGAAAATGTTTTGTCCATGCTTTTAAAAATAGTAAAACGATATAGTTAAAAAAATGCAGAATCACCTGGTCTTCTTAGTATTTCTTATATTTTGTTTTCTTAACTATAAGAGTCTCATAGGAATGGCATATCTACAGTTTAGTACTTTCTTTAGTTTCATCTCAGGATAATTTTGCCTGTTAAATTCTAATTAAATGAAATGTAAGAACTTGTTTTTTTTTTAATTTAAACTAAATATGTATTAAATATCCTATTAACACTTTTTCTATCAATCTTCATTTATTATGTGTACATGGAATATCACTTAGAGTAATTTTCACCAAATATTGTTTATTTCTTGAGATGAGATTTTGGTTTATATAGACTATTGTTCTCAATGTATAATTGCTGTTTTTTTTAGTGATAAGAGCATAAAATATTTTTAGCCAAGCAATCAAATTATACCTTGTCCTAGTAGTGACACCAGATGAAAATAAGTGTTTGTTCTATGTGATGCCTAATGCTGAAAGTATACATTATTTTTTATGATTTCTTGTCATTTTTCATATCATCATCATTACAAAAACACATCTGCATTATGACTCCAACATTAGATTTAACATAGTGAGACTGAGAAATTATTAAGGACACACGGGTAGGAACAACTATGTCTTTGGAAGATGGGACCTAGTCAGCAGAGTCTAAGCCTGTGAAAGGACCCTGTCAATACACCCATCCACGTGGCTGCTCAGAGAGACCCATGAGAGGGTATTAGAGACAGAGGCTCTGAGTGGGGATATGCCAGGCTGACAGACATCCTGGGGCCCCATGCCCAAGGTTCTAAATGGCTTTTCTATGTGACTTTGAGCTACAAATCAACTTGTCCTAATTCTCAGAAACCACTTGAAAGCTGCAGCACCTGCTTTGCTCCAGGCTCTGATTACGGGCTCAGCCTGGCACAGTGACGCTAACCTCATTTCAGCCCTCCCCACAGAGACATAATCACATTTGTGGAGAGGCAGGAGGCAGACACTCCATCTCGGACAGGATCTCTCGCTTGGAGAGCCCCTGGGGTTCCTGCTGCCTGAGCTGGTATCTCGGTAGCTGCCTGTGCCTTTTCATAGGGACAGAGCCCCTGTCTGGCTTCCTTGGCTGCCTTCTTTTGCTCCGGCACTACACAAGCCTGGTTTACTCTTGAAAGATGCCTTGCAGGGTTTGCCCTCTGCATTGAGACTGGAGGAAAACAGGGAGAGGGATTTCGTTAAAACTCTAAACTAGTTCATGGTCATGGAAATTTAGCTTTCCTAGCACAATCCCTAAAAAAACCCAAACCACTTCTTTCAGTAGTGGATCTTGAATTTTGAGGGATTTCCAAACCCTTTGAAAATACAATGAATGCTTTGGGCCTGCTGCCCAGAATTATATGATTATTAAGCATAGTAGGAACAGTTGAGCAAAAAGACAAATCTTTTACTTCATCATTTCTTCCATTCGCTTTAGCTACCCTATGTTCAAAAGCAAGTTTTAGAGTTTCTACTGACATCCACTTTGGTCTTTTTAATGGCCTTTTGCTTTTTTAATATATGATACTTTTGTGTCATTCTATAACTCCTCAAGTCTTCTGCATTAGTGTTCAATGTATTGAATTGGTTCTTGAGTTGTTCGCTAAATTCAAGTGGAGTATACTCAAGATCATATTGAGGCTCTCATGGAATTAATTTTCTTCAACCTCAACCTTGAATTTGCATAGGAGCAATTAATAGCCAATTCCACATTTGGCTCCTGGACTTGTTTTAGCTTATGATATTGAGTGTCTTCATCATCTCTCTCCACAGATATAGTGAAAAGGTATAGATCTCCCTCATATTTTTGTTCCCATTATAGGACTAACCATCATTTGCTTGAATATTGAACCATGGAAGTGAATTACGTATTTTGCAGACCTAAAGAAAGGGTGCTTGCCTCCAAACCAAGCCAAACTCACTGTCATTGAGTCTGTTCCAACTTATAGCTACTCGATAGGACGGAGTAGAGCTGGCCTTATGGGCTTCCAAGACTAATACTTCATGAGAATGAAAGTCTCATCTTTCTCCCACAGAGCAGCTGGTGGTTTTGAGTTTCTGACCTCATGGTTAGCAGCTAGCTCAATGCATAACCACTATGTCACCAGCACTTCTGTGCCTAGTGGCTGAAAATTGAGTCACGAGGCAAGTTCTTTCTCAGACCTAAAGGGTGACTAAGAACAAAAGTCTCAGCAGATTCCCTTGTGGAGTGGAGTGCCTCCAGGTACTTTTTTGAGAGAGCTAGATTTGCAGACACAGAGCTACCCTGAGTGCCTTTGCACTGAGGCTTCTGGTGGACTAGAGTGGCCTTCGGTCATTTGTAATGTTGCCTGAGTAGGGCAGAGGCCAAGGGTCTACAAAGAAACTAGGTAAGTGCCCGGATATCAGAAAGAATAGCATCTGGGGTCTTAAAAGCTTATCTTCAAACAAGTATCCATCTCAATGAGGCAGCAACTAAGTCTACATAGAAGAAACACACCAGCCTGTGTGATCCAAGGATTGTAAACAAGATAATCCAAATCCAAAGGAGGGAATGGTATCAGAGTTTAAATTAGGAATGCCTGGTTTGAAAAAGGCCATGGATGACAGTGGAAACTCAAAGTCCATTTGCAAGGTCCACACATAGATTGAGTCTCCAGTGAATGCCCTCTGACCCTAGTCAAGGGATCTGAATAGCCCTGTCATCAGACAGAGAGCACTCTAAAGTCCATTATAGCTAAGATAGTTAGATTATAATGTAATATCTTATCATTTGGTCTCCTTTTTGACCCATTTAAATTTTTTTTTTAATGAACGGGAAATGTACCCATGGATTAAACCTCTAGTGAATCCCTTCTGACCATAGACCAGGGATGTGAATAGCCTTGCTACCATACATTGTGCACTGGAATTGCAGATACAGTTGGGTTAAAATTTAACCCCTTATACGTGACCTCGCTTTTGACCTATTTTAAATTTGTTCTAGTTTGTAATATTTTCTCTTTTTTTATTGAGCAAGCATATGGAAGGAAATAGCAAGCATCAGAATAAAATCAATTCAATTGAAGGCAGAAAAAAATCCACGAAACGAAACAAAAACTTGTTCTGTGAGAAAAATCAATAACATTGACAAAACTAGCAAGATTCACCAAAAAGAGAAAGAGATGACACAATTTACCAATATCAGAAATGCTAACGTCAAAAGAATCCTATGAACAACTCTACCCACATAAATTTAAGACATTGGATGGAATTGATCAGTTCCTTAAAAAGTACAAATTACTATCACTAATACATTATGATAGAAATGATTTGAATAGCCCTGTTAATCCTCTGGGATAGTTGTTATAAAATATTTCCCTAGGGTCTCAATGAGACTGGATGGCATAGTGGGTCACGGGTTGGGCTATTAACTGCCTGGTGAGCACTTCAAAATGAACAGGGTGGCTAGGAAATGCCAGGCGAGGTGGCCAGGGAAGATTTCTGGAATCAAATGAACCTTAATCCACTCTATTTCTTTCTTCAAAATGACTTGGTCATTGTCTTGTTCTGTGGGTGCCTTCTGAATTTTTGTTAATTGTTCTACACTGCAATTATTTATTTATTGCGCTGGAATGTCCTGTGAACTCCTCTAAAATAGTCAAGTTTCATATCCAATCACACCCTCGTTCCTTCCCCAATAGTCACATAAATTGGCCAAAACAATTTCTGCAGGAGATTAATTTTTAAATAAAGGGCAGTAGATATTATTAGTCTATGGCTTATACAAAGAGACAATCCAGCCTAGAAGGGTTTTAAAAAGTAAGAAAATCACATATGCTGAAAAATGTTCATCTAAGCAGTGTTCCTCAGCTCTGGCCACACGTCAGAATAGTGAAGGGACTGTAGATGGTTTAAATGCCAAACCTCTTCCCAAGAGATTCTGGTAAAATTGATCGGGAACAAGGTGTAGGAATCCATTTGTTTTATAGCTCCAAGCTGCTGCTGTGTGGCTAGGAAACACACCATTAAGGTAGAACCATGGGTCACATATTTTAATGAAGGTAACATATGACATATTGGTCACAGGCATGGCATAACCCAATTACCATATCAGAGTGATTATTTCGTCCTCATTGGAACATGTGTATCTACGTACAAGAGAATCGGACTGTTGCTTGAATATTTAGTTTACTGGCAATACACTCCTTGCCAAGTATCTATTTAGAACAACAGATCTAGCCAACAAGGGAAATTTGTTTTGTTTTCATTTTCATTTAATTCATTTATCATATACTTTTCATTATTTAGAATTCCAAAAATGGCCATCACAGAAATATAGCTTCATTTTTAACTTGACAAGGGATAGGCCCAAGATTTCTTGACTTAACAGAATACCCTGGCTGACTTTCCTGGTGACTTCTGTCTGAAGTCACAACTTGCTCAACAAAAATATAAATGTAGTCTTCTTCCAGCCTTGCTCAAGGAGTAGCAGGCTAACACCAGCCGAGATCAGAATTTCCCTTACCTAGGACCACCCCTGAAGACTGGACCAGGACTCTGGAATTCCCCCGTCTGCCCTGGCATCCTCCCAGTCTCCCTTAGACACAGAAAGATCAGGAAAGTCCCATTGGGCCACAGACAAGAAGTGATGGGTTAACTTACAAAGAATGGAATCAAACCAGCGGCCTTGTCTCTCTCCAAGGCCTCCTGCAGGGCAGAAGCCCGCATGGCGAATTTGCCGTCAGAAGGGATTGCTTTTAATTTGACTCCACCAATCAATCCTGCTCTTTCCACGGAAGAGTGTGCCTAAAAAGAAAGCAGCAAAGTTAGGCTTGTGTAGGTAGGTCCCCCTCTGTGGGTACTGTCTAACCCTTAGCTCCTCAAAGCTCTGCATGGCACTGTACACACCTGGGTCCCTTTCCTAGGGCAGCGATGGCAAGACTGGTGTTCTCTCCTACCTCTGAACCTTCAGAAGGTTTCTTCACTGGAAGTTGTTTCGATTCATGTCAAATTTTGCTTTTAAGTTTAATGACTGATACACCAGTAAAGTGCTGGTCCAATACTGGTAAAATCTTTTTGTTTTGTTAATTCAAAAGCAAATGGTGAGCTTTGGGATCAGACAGGGAACTCTGGGCATTTCCACCCCATGATGCAGTATTCGGAGGGAGTGGCATTGTATACTACTAAGCAAAAGCTAGTGAACCAGTTCAGGTAAAGATGCAGGGACCAACCTGAGGTAGATCTGGGAGCTAATAGGGAACCATGAACAGACCAATAGATTTGAGCCAAAAAAGCTGCTGGAGAACTGCCCTTTGCTGATTATGTAGTGCCCCCCCCAACACACACACACACACACACACACACACACACACACACCCTCACTGCAGAGCAGGCTGACATTGGCATATGAGAGGCAGATACCTGTCTCAAGAACAGGAGCATCCAGAGCATCCCACATGGGCCGGGCAGAAGCCAGAATGCCACAGGGACCACACTTTGACCGGGCTCCTCCCTGCCTGGCATGCTTCCCTAACTCCTGCCAGGTTTCCCTGGAGAGCAATTCTTCAAGAAATTAGAAATACCAAAATCCTTGCTTCTGGCTCAGCTTCTAAGAAACATGAACTACTCAAAATCAAATTGTAACTATATCCCTGAAAAAAACTACTTCATAGTCTGTCCCCTTTCCTGACACTCATTTTCAGCTGGGGTCCCACAGAGGCATTAGCCCACATGCGCCCACCTCCTATAATAGTCTTGTAATTCCCGTGCATCTAGAATAGTGCTAGCTGTCTACCATATAGTGGCGTACTGATGAAACAAATAGCAAAATAATTTCCTACAGTGCTAAAAGCCAGTTGGAAATGACTGCCACCACTTCAGATAGGAAGTTCTCACATTTATTGAGTGCCTCGGTGCACATTTTTAAAGCCACCTCGTGTCCTTCTAAGCTATAACAGAGATATAAATATATTTTTTTCAAGCGCAGCTAGTACAAAAAAGTGAAATCAAAATACACAGCTATATAATCCTCCCAAGTGTTGCGAAACCGGTACTATTTCTACTTCAGGTTAAATTTTTATTATTTAGAATACATATCATGGTTAAAATATCTGAATTAAGAAATTTATTAAAGATAAATATGTCAGCAAAGCTAGACCCGCTTTGTAGAATCCAACCCTGTGAAGGTGGAACAAGTCAGACAGTTATTGTGTCCCTTGAATGCTAAGTTTTCCATCCTCGTGCTGCTTAATCTCCTGTTCACGCTCACAGTGTTTTTCCTTTCTAGCTCTTTCCCTGGATTGACCGATGGAATCACACAGTGTGCTCATATTTGCAGAAGCTTTATAGCACCTTATATCCTTTTTTAAATTGTTGTCTAATCATGAGCTGAATGGATCAGCAACACGAAGAGGCGGGTGCTTTTATCCCCGTTTGACATGTAAGAAATGGAGGTTAAGAGAATTTGTGTGATGTGTGTCAGACCACAAAGCTTAGAATTTTAGAGCTGGGATTTGAGCCCGGGTCTTGAAGCCTCTGTCTAATGTTTCCACAATGCCCCTCTGAAGGCAGGCCAGATTGTTGCAGCATTAAGTCAGTGCTGGGAGGAATGGTAACCGAGCTAGTCACGGTGATTTTTAGCATGTACTTTTCTTTCCAATTTGACCTGCTTTCCACCCAAGAGCCCACCCTTCTCATCAGCCCATGATTCAGTTAGCGTCCTCTTGTTCTGGGTTTGAATGATGCTGCATGGTTTTTTACTCTGACTTGTTTTAAAACCAAACATTCAAATTTTGAAGGTGGGCAGGACAGCAGACCCACACACACTCCCAATACATTCACCTGATCAGATGAGTAGGCCACCAGCTGTTCCATGATGGCAGCTTGTGACAGCTCTGGGGATGTCATCTGTAGCTGTCTTGTCACTTTGGTCCGAGCAGCCAGGAGGGCCACCAGTGTGGCTTCACTGGCACTTCCCTAAATGCAAGGGGAAGGTGCGTGAGCTTTGGAACACAGCAAGGCAATCCGTATCTCAACTCTTAGACGACATAATTTGCTTCCGCTTTTGAGAAATGAATCTGACATTGCAAACGTCATTCTCATTTGCACAGGGGGAAAAAAGCCTGAATACTTATGATTGCTAGTTTATCATTAGTTTAACATTACTTTGTATATCTATGGTTCCATGATGGCTGACATTTCTGAGCCCACATTTTGTACCCCATATTGAAAACATGAGCTTTGCAAGCATTTTCTCATGGACACCATGCCACCTGGCCAAGGAGATCCAATCGTCACTGTCAGAGGAGGTAGCCGGGGCTTGGTATACCAGAGTGCAAAACCAACTCGTGGTTCATAGCCACTTGGGCAAAGCAGGTTGAATTTGTTCACAAAATGAAGGTGCATTTTCACGTAGGCTTCCAGTTCGCCTCGGAAACTCTTTCACACACAGATATCGACACATATTTTTGGCAAGTTAATAAAGATGGTTTAAAATTCACCGTTTTGAGATTGAGAATGGGCAGATAGTGATGACGTATGCAGAGCAATCACTAGCAAAGGGTTTCCTGAGTGATCAAGCCAAACAGCATTTGTCAGGGAAAAACGAGAGCGGCTCCCCTGTGAGATGAATTGGCACAGGAGTCACCACGCTAGAGGCAAACACACCAAAGATCACGAGGGTGGAATGGGCCTGGGCATGTTTTGTTCTGTTCTACTCAAGGACGCGTGAGTCAGAGCTCCCTCCGAGGACAGGAACCACAATAATAATATATTCTCCCCTAGAATGCTCAGGATAGTCCATTTTGCCCTCGTCAGGTGGTAAAGTGCATGCCAAAAGAGGTTAAATAACGTGCCCCACGTCAACAGCTAAAGAGTGACAAGTTTAGAAGGAATCTACGTCTGTCCTGTCTACTGTCCTTCTCCCTGAAACCCACTAATCGATTGAGCACTAGCATGAGGAAGGAACAATAAAAGAAAGTCGATTTTGGTCAGATATGAGAGAAACATTTACAAGATTTTAGAGTATTACAAAGAAATATGAGATAAAATACTTAAAGAGCAATTATCTTGTTAATATTCTTAGTCTTCCTTCATTGATCCCAATGTCATATTTTTATTTTATGATTTCACTGATTTTATTTTTTCTTTTAACTCAACTCATATCTTTATGGAGCAGGGGGGAATTTAAGATAAATACATTTATTATATATTTTCATAGCTCTAATGCATATGCTCAAATATGCAGACGTATTCCTCTTAATGTAGCATATAAAATGAGGGGGACCCATCCCTTGGTATCTGCTGGACATTGGTTCTGGTACCTCTACAGAGACAAAAGTCCAAAGATGTTCAAGTCCCTCACATAAAATGACATTGTTGTGGTTATGAGCCATCATCCAACTGATTTTCATTCACTGTGACCCTGTATATCACAGAGGGAAACGCTGCCTGTCTCCGCAAAGAATTTGCATACAAAATATACATATCCTCCTTCCTGCTTTAAATAATCTCTAAATTACTTAGAATACCTAATACGGTGTAAATGCTATAAGTAGCTCTATCAGCTCCCTTTTATTTTGGAGAGGCTACTTTGACTACTCAGTTGCTTTTTTTTTCTTTTTCCATCCAAGGTTGGTCGAACCCTTGAATTCTGATTTTGTGAGAACAGAATGTCAACTATGTTGCATCACCTTCAGATCATGGTTTCATCAGCAATGATTTTTTTTTCTAATCATTTTATTAGGGGCTCATACAACTCTTATCACAATCCATACGTACATCAATTGGATAAAGCACATTTTTACATTCATCAGCAATGATTTTTAAGACCATTTTAAACCAGGCTAAAGAAAACTTGCCAGAGCTAACCATGCTGCCTGGGCGAAGCCAAGTTCCCTGCAGACAGGCTCCGTATTAGACACTTCCGTAACACACTCTGTTACTCTTCTCATGGGGCTGATGCCCTCCTGTCCTAGACTGACCCCTTGGCTCATTCACTCTAGTTGAAAAAGTAACATGTAGAGATTATTGAAAAGATACAGTTCCTGAAGATGGGGGTCTCCCCTTGTTTTTCTCACCTTTAACACTTAACACTCACATGTGATTGACGTGTCTCCATCTGAATTACAGCCTCCATTTAAAGCCTGGGAGGGCACACTCCTCCCTCTACCCCCATTCTGACCCATATGCGTTCTCCTCTGTGCCACATCCTGAATCACCATGCCTATTTATTGTGGCTTTCTCTCCAGTCTTTGTCCAGGTTCTAAAAGACAATTGCCCTCTTTCGGTAACAAGTGATTTTATAAGAGGAAGTATAAATGGCAGAGACTCATTCAGAATGCAACAGCTCCAACGCAGGCCATGGGTTTCAGCAGACTCCGGTGGGAAATCAAAAGGCTCTTTTCTTCCCTTTGTTGGAAACAGATCTTAACCGAGAGAGAAAAGGAGGAGAGGGTGACTGTTCTGTGTACTAAGAGAACAGTAATGATACCTTTGCTTTATTGCAGGCAAATAAAGGTTGCCATGGTAAGCCCGGTGTGGAGAGGGCGGGGAAGCAGAAGGAAATGCAGAGAGAAGGGCTGCTTCCTGCTGCTGATGCTGAACACGTTTCATCTTTTGTGTTTCCATGTGTCACCACATGCCCTGTGGCAACCAGCTTTTCTTCCACAGGAGCTTTCCAAATAAAATTACAAGGCAATTTTTACAGATAACATTTGTCCAGCCTCACAGTGACACTTTGCCATTTGACTCAGATGGAACCCCCTCCCAGTGTTGTCGCTTCACTGTAGTCTAAGGCTGTGATTACAGCGGAGAGAGGATCGATAACTGGAGCTAACTCACTGTCTGCCCAGCTCTGGATCCATGAGCTGTCAGCAAACTCTGTCAGCTGGGGAGACTGGGACTTCCTGACATAAAAATCAGACATAATTGCCTGCTTTTGTTCAGCAAAATGAGAGTGTCTTAGGCCCAATAGACAATGTGTTGAAGCTTAGAATGAGAGACGACAGGATTTTTCCTTACCAAATGCAAAGACTCTCATTGATACTGAAAAATAGAATTCTCTTTAATAAAAGGTCATTACACAGTGAACCTAGGACAGATGAACCCCCACCCAGGACCAGTGGAGAGAGTGGTGATGGCGGGAGGGTGGAGGGAAGGAGAGGGAGAAAGGGGGAACAGAAGGAATGAGTCAATGAGCCTGAGGGTCAGGACCACACTCTGGTGACACCAGGGTCAATCGGCATAACATAGTTGACGAAGACAATGTTCTATATCCCACTTTGGTATGAGTAGAAACTGGGGTCTTCAAAGCTTGTGATCAGCCATCTGAGATACAACTACTGGTCACTCTTGTCAAGAGGAAGGAAGAATGATAAAAATGGAAAGACACATGGAAGCCTTTAGTCTAGTGGACTAAAAGATCATACAAATATCAGTCTCCCCGCTCCCGCGCCGAGAAGAACTAGATGGTTCCCAGTTACGACTACCAGCTGCTTTGAAAAGGATCACATTAGACGGTCCTATATTCAGTGGGAGTAAAAAATGTGGAAAAACCTCAAAATCATAAAAGAAACCAGGCTTACTGCTTGGATAGAAATGGTGGGGTCCCCAAGGATATGACCTTTAGCCACTCATGATATATGAAGTCGAATTCACCCGAGGGGCTCATTTTTCAGCCAAACAATAGGAAACTTAACAATAACGTGGTATGCACACCTCGGAACAGTCCATCATTTTAGATCTAAAGGACAGCATTGCCTGCAGGACAAAGTTTAGAGGGTTAGGAATGGAAGCAGGAAACACGAGGAGGAAGTTGGATATTGAGAGGATTTCAATTAAGGACATGAAACAAAACGTATATGAATTGTGAATGGAAAACTCAGTACCTGCTCTGTAAACTTTCACCCAGTTCACAAGAAGCAATTTTTTAAAATAACTGAAAACCGAACTCGCTGCCATGAAGTCAATTCTGATGCATCGCCCCTCCCTGGGACAGGTTCGACACCGCGCCTGCGCGTTTCTGAGACTCGCTTTACGGGAAGAGAAAGCTGATCTTTCTTCTGTGGAGCAGCTGTGGTTTCCAACCCCTGACTTTACGGCTTGCAGCCCAAAGCATAACCACGATGTCACCAGAGTGCCTTTACAAAAATAAGTGAGCTACAAGAACAACTGGAATATACTAAAAGAAGACTTTCCCCAAGTAAAGACAGAGCTGCTGCGTCTTGGATGGGTGAGCTTACCAAACAGTAGGACTGAAAGTGAATGGGACAGGTGAATAAAGTAGGTTTGGGTAAACTACATAGAAGAACTGTATAAGAACATGTAAGTCCTCCACCAGTGTGCATGCCTGTTGTGAAAGGTTTGCTTACTCTCATTTCCTGAATCGAGTCAAACAGAATACAAAAGAAGATTCTCCTCCTCAATGACGGTTCTCTTTCTTTCCTCTGTTGCTCCTATCTTCTTGCTCTCTGGCAACACTGAGGCTCCTCGCTTCATTAGAAAAATATGCGACTGTGTGTAACCTCTGGAGAATGATGGGCCGTTGTAGTCCTGTAGTAAAGGTGCACCGTGTTCTCCAGAGGAATGTATGATATTCTTGTTTCCCAGCGTTCCTCCCAGTGAGATCAGAGCAATAATTATAATTTATTGAGAAACAACGGATAGTCAGGAGGTTTACTGACACCGGAGTTGGATCATAAACCAATAATCACCAGAAACAGCATGAATCTACGGAAGAGGGAATATTAGCATACTAGATATCACTCCTCTGGGTGAGGATTTAACATTTAAATGAGACATGCTAAGAGCTGCTATCTCAGTATCCTTTACTGCACATACTGAACCTGTAATCAGATACAATTGTCTATATCACATGATTCTGATGTTATTCTTATCCTATAAAGAAACTAGGAAAGCACCTGTAGGCCAACGGATCTAAGGGGATTTCTGTCTCCGCTTGTGCACGATCTTAGTAAAACTGCGTGTTCTGCTCTTTGCTGAGGTGTGTCTTTGTTGGCTTCTCTCACGCCGTGCAATGAACCCAGCATTTTGTGGGTGACAGAAAGATTTAGAAAGTCCTCCTGGTCCTCACCAAAGTGCCTGAAGGAGCACTGGTGTAGCAGGCTAGCTGTGTCCGCCTCTGTCTGAGGCCTAGAGGGTTTCTGGGACTCCGTGTCTTCGTAGTCTTTGCTAAGGGGACTTGACAAGGCCACATCACCCCGAGCAAGAGGAAATCTGCCCTGCGAAGCCACAGACCAGAGATGCTTGCATTGACCAACAAGTTCTTGTTGCCGTCGTGGTCAAGACCGGTTAACAGCATCAGCCTGAAGCTTTGCGTACAGCCCAGCTGGAGTTTAATTTTCACCAACTCCCAACTCAAAATCATTTATGCATGATGGACAATCAAACAACCCAGGGGTGATGAGAGAGAAAATGGTCTGAGCCTGGGCATGTTAATCTGTCAGTCACAGTGACGTCATCATCTGTCATAGAATATAGGATCAATTTATCAAAGGGCAGCTCAAGACGTCAGCATGATGAAGACCTTAACTGAATGTTTGAATGCAGATTCCTGGGCCCACGGAAGATGGATTGGATGCCAGTCTCTAGTGGTAAAATCTTGGCATCTGCATGGCAAGAGTTTCCCCCACGACTCTTTGCATACTGCATTCACAGAATAGTTGCCCCCAAAGTTATCTGTACCCTGATTACTAGAAGATGTGGATATTTACTTTCTATGCAAAAGGGATTTTACTGGTATAATTAAGTTAAGAATATTGAGATGGGGAGATTATACTGGATCACTGGGGTGGGCCACATATTATTATATGGATCCTTAAAAGTGGAAAACATACCCCAGCTATTGTCAAAGGATGATGTGTGTAGGATGATGTGTGTGTGTGTTAGTTTCCTAGGGTTGCTGTAACAAAATAAAACAAATTGGGAGGCTTAGAACAAGAATTTATTGTCCACCAGCTAAAAGCCCCCAGTCAAGGTGTCACTAGGGGCCTGGTCTCTCGAAAGGCTCTGGAGAGGAAAGATATTTTCTCACTTCTTTCTAGTGTTTGGAGGTTCTGGACCATCCATGACCATCCTTGTCGAATGGATGTCATTCCAATTCCTGCTTCAGCCTTCTCGGAGCCATCTTCACTCTGTCTCTGCGTCTCGTCTCCTCTTTTCATAAGGACACCAGCAATAGTCTTCTAGGGCCTCCCCTAGTCCAGCTGACCTCATGCTCACTTAACGACTTGCAATAGAAAAGGCCTTCTCTCTAAACAAGGTCATGTTCATAGGTGCCTGGAAGTTAGAGTTTTAATATTTCATTTGAGGACACTCAATTTAACCCATCATAATATGTTTATGGAGAATGGTCAGAGAGATGTGGCACTGCTGACACTGAAGATGGAGGATAGGACCACAAGTCAAGGAAAGACAGCAGCCACAGAAGTTAGAAAAAAGCAGAGAAAAAATTCTCACCTAGAAATTTAAAAAAAATTTTTAAAGGAGCCTTCCACAATCAGTGGGACCTGCATTAGACTTTTGACCAACGGAACTGTAAGGTAATAAAGTTGTATTGTTTTAAGTCACTAAAATGGAACAAAGCACCAATACCTGAGATTTTAAAAAACCATGGTTTGGTTGAATAGCCTCAGGAATAGAAATTGGAAGATTCGCTCCATAGATTAACTCAGACATATGAGCCGTGCAGTCTTACAGAAAGCATTTTTCAATGCGATCCTGTGTCCTCATCACTGAATGATGACAATAATGGCTACCTTAATTTTCAGAATCATGAAGAAGTCAATATTTGGATCAGTAAATATTTTCCCCAAAATATACAATGATTTTCTAATACTATTATATAACAATCATCAACATGGGTAGGATCCTAAGATAAAATCATGATGCAAAATTCAGCATTGGGCAAAAATGGTGGATGACTACATCAGATCACAAAATGGAGGACATGATGTCATTACATAACTGCCAAATTATATCATTAATGACTGTCAAATTACATAATCACCTAATTGCCGGTCCATTGAGAATCATGCCTCAGCCATCACGGCCAGCATTACCCTTGCCTTACACTTCAGTGTTCATTACTACTAGACATATATTATTACTTTGAGAAAAAGATAATAGGCTTGTTACTGGTTGGCATAATGGCTGTCGTAATTTTCAGAACCATGAAGTTTTACTGATGCAAAGGAAGAAGTGGCTTCAATACAGTCCATCTTCATGAAAAATATTAAAAATACACAAGGTCTATGTCATTCTAGGCACTGTCCTGGAAACCCTGTGAAATGGAAATCCCCTCTCACTTTCTTTGGTTTCCCGGTACAAGATGATTCTTAATAGTCACCTGTTAACTGAAGATAATACATTAAACAAATGCACAAACTAGCAGCATACTGAGGCTAAGTTTTGGCACACATGGCACCTTGTATCTTCGGAAACACAGTCACTGCTACCATTTATGGTTCAGAGAGCAGTGCCTGGGGTCAGGTAAGTATAGGTCAAATTCATGCTCTAAAATTGACCAGCTTGAAACCAATGGGCAAGTGACCTAACTGTGCTTTAGTCTCTTCAGTTTAACAGGGGACATTAAGAGGCCCCACACTCATTGTGTTGTGAAAATTAAATGAGTCAATGCCTAAAATATGACAACCCAAATAATAGTTGTTGTTATTATTTTTATTACTATATACATTCTGCATGATAACCACTATGTTAGCCCCATCTACCATCAATAGGAGCCAAGGAAATGAGTGGCCTGCCCATAGCTAATGAGAGGCAGGCAACCCTGAGCCTCAAATTCAGATCCCACCCACCACACCACCAGAATTTCCCCCAAAGCTTGGCTTTACCTCTTGTGTAATTCTTGCTCATATTCCAGAAAAAATAGGAACAAAAACAGGGGGGCTTCTTTTTCCTATCTGCAGCAGTGGTCCCTTTCTGGAGCTCCCAGAACGCTGCCTCCCTCAGACTCCACCACACACCTCTTACCTGAATCACACCACCCCCTTGTCCAGTACTCTCAGCCAGGAAGGCCTCTGGTAGCTCCAGCATCTTCCCAAGCCAGTCCATCATCACAGTCTCCAGTTCTGTGCATGCTGGGCTTGCAGCCTGTTTGGGGAGAGAGCAAAGGAGAGAATCCTGGAGCACTCCCTAAAGGCCTTGCCCACTGATGATAAATGCACGACACGGTGCGGTAACTGCAAGGAAGATGAGATTTTCTCCTCCTGTGAAGAGACGGCACTGACTCGATGACAGTGAGTTTGGAGTTTGGGGATGGCAACAGGGCTGAGAATTGTACACACAACATATTCCATTTGGAACACTGAGGAAGCAAGCTTCCCAGCTCCCAGATCAATCACAAAGAAGGGAGGACGTAGGTGGTGCCAGGTTTACATGACTGTGCTGACCCCTCTTTGTTGGAGAAACCCAACTGCTTTCACTTCACCATCTCCTCGTGGCACCTCGAGTCACTCAAGTGAGAGCTGAATGCCAAAGAAGAAAGGATAGAGAATTGGACTGAGTGCCAACTAGAAGAAGTTGAACCAAAGCAGGGAGAGAGGAGAGAGACGGCATGGGTGAATTGTCCTCTGACCTGACTCAGTACAGTCGGCTTGAACTTCTGTAAGCAATGTTCGGTTCAGGAGGCACTCACCCATTGGGTTCAAGTTGATGCTAATGCATATTGACCCCAGAGGGCAGAGTACAGCTGTCCTTTTGGATTTTGAATACTGTAAATCTTTATAGGGGCAGACAGCTTCATCTTTTGCCAATGGAGAAGTTGGTGGGTTTGAACTGCTGAACTTGCAACTCAACACAATAAAACAAACCATTACAACCCCAGGGCACAGAAACCAAATAATCCCTTTCTCTCTCCCTGGGCAGCACAGTGCCCAGAGCAGTGGTTGGTGACCAGGAAGGTACGATCCTTCCCAACCACCCCCAGCTCCCTGGTGACCAGAACTGTAGCCAGCACCCACTCACACCCACAATTTTCATCACCCAGTGGCTAGTGACACTCTCTATGCAGTCCCTCCGCTACCTGAGGTCAGAGGGATGCCCTCATGGAGAGGGCACTAAGTGAATGCACGACTGAATCTGAACGCACACACATTGTGCCTTCTAAGACCAGCAGAGTATACAGTACTTAACGAGTGGCTTGCTGGTAGCCATTCCAAAATGGCAGAAACTGTTTCCATAAGCAATTGCCCCTGGTCCTAAAATAACTCATTCCAGGTCAGAAGCCTGAGCCCCAAACACCCTCTAAGACAGTGGTTCTCAACCCGTGGGTTGCGACCCCTTTGGGGATCAAACCACCCTTTTACAGGGGTCGGCCAATTCATCACAGTAGCAAAATGATGGTGATGAAAATAATTTTATGGTTGGGAGGTAACCACACCATGAGGTTTCATACAGTTGTATGAAAGGGTCGCGGCATTAGGAAGGTTGAGAACCACTGCTCTAGGACATCAGAAACTCCATCTAGTGCCAAGAGTGCCACCCCTCTCCTCTCACCCTGGCCCACCCCACCCCAGGACCTGCAGAAGGCACACCCATACTAGTGCCCTGCTCCCCGGTTCTCTTCTCTCTAGGCCAAGCCCCACCCCATTTTAATCTTTGATTTGTTGGTTGTTGTTTTTTCCCTTTTTATTTCCCTATCCCCCCACCTTACTATCTCTGCTTTTCTTCCCTGCCTACTCTTTATCTTCTTAGTTTTTTCTTTTTTATTCTTTTTCTCCACCTGTTCCCCACCCCCTACAGGGACACAATAATATCTGAGGAAGAAATGGCACTGGAACTAATTGATACGTAATTCAAAAGAATGATCTATAAGACACTACTGTTCCTCCTGGGGCTGGCTCTTCCTTGGGCTTCCTCACTCCCAGGCACAGTGCTAGAGAGAAAAGCCTTTCCAATCTGCAGAGAACACCAAAATACAGGAAACTTAAGGGTTCCCATACTATGAGGAGTTCATAGAAGGTCAGAGAGAGAGTGTTCTTAAGAGTTTTATATCCTGAGTACCCACCTTGCTTGTACCTTGGACCCAAGGAAGAGCCAGTCCTCCCCTCCCTCTGAGAAGGGATCTTTTTAGGTGTTGCCTCCCCAGATAAGGCAGGGCTGGCAGGTGGAAGTGAACTGGAATGTATTTCTTGAGATCCCTGCTCTCTCAGCGCATGCATTTCAGATGGCCTGGACACTCTGTTCTGTAGCTGTAGCCAGGGGTAGCTGGGCTGAGACCTGAGCAGCCATGGTTCTCAGTCTTGAGTGTATAGCAATCCTCTGTGGACTTGTTAGAAGTAGGCTCCAGCCACAGTAGTACTGGGCCTCAGAGAGCTTTTAAGTCACACTAAAAAGCAACAAAACCCTTGCAGTGGAATTGATTCCTTCTCTTAATAATTCATATGTTACAGAGTAGAACTGCTCTGTATGGTTTTCTTGGCTATTGTCTTTACAGGAATAGGTCACTAGATCTGTCTTATAGGAAGAGGTCATTCAATTGGGTGGCTTTAAGCCATAAATCTTTAGGTTGCCCGGGGACCTATGTGTGTCTAAAAACCACAGCAGACTGCCACGCATCACAGGACTCACCCAAGAGAAGCCAATGCAGCCGATGGCCCCGCACAGCATGTCCGCAAGCATAGCCGGATATGAGCTGGCCGTCGGGAAGTAGGCGAAGAAGTGGGGACTGTGCCAGTGGGTCACCTGCCCAGAAGATGGATGGGTTACTCATTCCTGCCAGAATCAGGGCCCTGCTACTCTCAGCGCCCATGGGGACCTCGTTCATCCCAATGCGGTCATCACAAGGACTTGATGGCAGTGAGTTTAAATATTGTTTTAGGAGCACCATCCTATGTGCCACAGAACACCACATTGCCCAGCCCAGTGTAAATCGCTGTTCTGCTTGAGCCCATTGGCACAGCCACTGTGTCCATTCAGCTCATCGAGTCTTCCTTTTGTCTCGACTCTCTACTCTAGCCACCAGGATATCTTTTTTAAGGGCTTGTTCATGTCTACTCTGATAACATATCCAAAGTACATGAGATTGAACCTCACCGCCTTCATTTCTAAGGAGCATTCTGACTATACTGCCTCCATGACAGATTGATTTGTTCTTCTGAAGCCCATGGTATTTTCAATGTTCTTCACCAATGGCATAATTCATGTGCATCATTCTTCTTGTATTTTCTTAAATTCACATGCACGAGGTGGCTGACAATACCTCATGTTAGAAATAGGCTCCACGTCTGGGGTCTTAAAGACTTGAAGGTAAACAAGCAGCCATCTAGCTGAGAAGCA